TTGTAAATAAGGGTGAGGTGCAGTGGAGGATACCGTCCCCAGGTCCTCCACAACTGCCCACCTCATGCACATGCAAGCACCCATATAATACTCATGGGGGAAAATACAATGAACTCCATGGCAGCATTTTATGAAATATCTACTGCTGGTGTTCCGTCGCTGAAGAAGCAAAGCCATCTTCAATGACTAAATCCAGCAACTGCTTGCTTTTTCAGCTCCTAAGGCAACTCTGAAGAAATAACTGGCTCACTGGAATTTTTCAGGACAGTGGGAATCGGGAATCAGGATTCTAGTGTTTCAACACCTTGACCCAGTAAACTATCACTAGCCCAAAGGAGCCAATAAAACCCTCCTCCCAGGAAGAGCCAGGTGGTTCTGGGCCAAGGGAAGGACTCCCATTCTCCCTCCCCACCGAGGGGCTTCCGTCAGCCCCGTCCTCACCTCCTTTATTGTCTTCACCACCTCAAACTCAGCCGAAGTGTGGAAGTCATAGCCCTCTTTTCGTAGCAACAGGCGGAGGTAGCGGGAGACGTCCCGTCCAGCAATGTCTACCCGCATGATTGAGTGTGGCATGGCAAAGCCCTCGTAGATGGGTACGGCATGTGTCACTCCATCCCCTGCATCCAGCACCACGCCTGTCGTGCGACCCGTGGCATAACTAGAAGAGAGAGAGAGCAGCAGAAGACAAGGAAGTGACTGGTTAGCTCAAGCTCCCTGCTTTCCCCACCTAGCAGACCCCCATCACTTAAGCCCCTGCAAAGTGGCAAAAGAAATGCCTCCCAAACACACTTTACACATTCACTGCTTTCGGAGCCACCTTTAATCAAGGGATCTTAATCTGATGGGACAAGGCATTATAATCTGTACTGCAGCATCTGGATTCATTCCCTGGCACCCTCCATGCTTTTAAAAAGGAAGGAAGATGGGGGTGAAGGCAAAGCCTGGTGTCTAAGTAAGCCATGACCTCCTGATTGCAGCAGCGATAAGGATGGACAAGGGAAGAGACATGGAAGCCCAACCATGTTTCCCTAGAAAGAGCTAGGAACAAGGAACAGGCTGGGATTGCCCACAAATCACACTCCTTTGCAAACAGAGAGAGGCAACTCTCAGCCATTGGGAATGTTTGCTACTGAGCCCCTGACCCATTCGGAAGTGCCTGAGAGCGCCTCTGAAATGTTGTTCCGCAAGCACGCAAAGCCAGCTGGTCAAAAGCAGCCATAACTGGGTAACAAAGAGAAAGAGAATGAACTTGGCTGCCCTATCTGTCTATTTGCCGGCGGCTGGAAACTCACAGGCTGAGGACAGCTTGCATGGAGATGAAGAGCGCAGGAACGTTGAAGGTCTCGAAGAAAACCTCAGCGGCCTTCTCCCGGTTTTTGCTGGGGTTTAAAGGGGCTTCTGTCAGGAGAACTGGGTGCTGGGAAGAAAGAAAGAAACCCACATCACGTTCCATGCTGGCAGGATGAGTGCCCGAGAAACCATAGGCAACCTTTCCGGTTCCAGACTCTGCCACATCCCTGCTGTGGAAGCCACTTTGCAAAAACATGCCACTCAGTCAACATTTATGACCTAAAAAAAGGTGACTTGCTTTACTAATTCGCATAAGCATACAGGGCAACACCCACCCACCCACACATACTGGAAAGTTAAATGAAGCAGATCCCTGAAATTTCTCTTGACCTTTCCTGCCATTCTCTGTTCAACCACAGAGAAAAGAGGATGAAGTGTTGCGTTCCTCAAGGACTCCTCAGTGACAGAGGAGATCCACATTGCTGTTGCAAATGAGAGTCACCGCAATCCCCTGGATTTTTCTCCTCCATCTCATGTTGTGCCCAGGCTGCTTTCCTTCCACATCCGTGCTACACCATCTCCTTTGTCTGGGTATTTAAGCAGACCATTTCAGGTTTCCTCCTGTGAATTCTCCTTCACACAGTCAGTCCAAGGCAGCCTTCTTGGGCTTTGCTGAAGGTTTGTTTCAGATAGGCATCCGCATTTTTCCCCGCACACCCCTTAAAAGCAAGATTTCTAGAGGACCAAATCCTTAAGTGTATGAAACGCACATTTAGAAAAGCCATCCAAGTCCTGCTCCTAGGATGCAGCCGCCACACACAAAAGTACATCAAATCTTTTTCCTGGAAAGCGGTAATGCCAGTGCCCCGATGGACTAGGAATGCTCCGACAGCTTCTTAAAAACACAACATGACCGTGCCTGCCAGGCTTCGCAATGAAGGAGGAGAACACATCGTACAGTTCTGAGGCCACAGCAGCAGAAGGCTGGACCCTGGGTGCTCAGCAAACGAAGGTCCCATAGGCGAGACGCCCTCAGTGAGGCTTCTCCTAATGACCTTAAGAACACTCTGAGATGTTCGTCAGAGGAACAGGTTCCCTCAAAGGCACACGTGGGGACCGGACTTCCAAGAGCCAGGCAGGTCATCTCTTTCAGGCTCAAGACGGCCAAAGGGACATTCTTCTAGCACATTGTCATGGAGGAACAAATAACCCATGGATGAGGAACTGCCGACCTTTCAAGACCTTCCAGAACACAGTTTCCTCAGCCTCTTGCCATTGACTGTCTGGCCAGGCTCCGAGTTTTGGAACAAACAAAAAATAAGATGAAAAACCAAAGTGATCAAGAGGAAATGGTGGAGAAGCAGAATGGAATCCACCAGACCCTCCCTCTGAGTCCCAACCTGGAAAATTACAGTGAAATCGTACTCCCAAAAAGCTACCCAGCAAAGGAGATGTAACAAAACAGGAAAGGACAGCCCCCCTCTTTACCTTCCACCCTTTTTATATTTGAATATTCAAAGGTATATCATAAACATTGCTCTTGCAATTAAAAAAAAAAGTTACCTCTTCTGAGAACGTCTGCAGCTGATCTTTTGAATAGACATACTGCCAGATTCTCTCCATGTCGTTCCAGTCGCGGACAATGCCATGTTCCATGGGGTACCGAATGGATAACAATCCTCTGTGCTCCTACGTGAGACAGGGCAGGAAGTCTGTTGCAGGGGGCTCAGCGACCAGCAACGCATGCCCCCCCAAAAGTCCAACAAAGTAAGGGCCGTCCTCTTTATGGCAGGGAATGGAAGATGCACCCCACTATCACCCCTGTGTTCTCCTGCACTCTTAATACAGCATTTGGATTAAAATAAAGATGCCCAAGTCCTTTTAGACACTTGCTGTCGTCTAGTTCTTATCTGCTGTATCATTCTTGCAGCACAATCAACACGGAGAACTACTAACTCAGTGTGAACCAATAATGGGGGGCAGGTTTGACAGACAGAAAGCACAATAGGTCCCTCTAGGTCTGGGACAGAAAACATTTTCAGAAGGATCTCAGGGCTACACTTTAGCAATGGGTAAAGCTAAAGCCATGGAATGGGGCTCAGGCAAAGCACAAGGGAGCAAGATATTGCTGTTACCCTTTCAGAAAAAGGCATTCCCCCAACAAACAAACAAACAAAGCACGGCTCCATTTTCTTCCAAGGGGAAGAGTCCCAGTGCAACAGCTTTCCAAGTCACAAACCAGAGTTCAAAGAAGCAGAGGAGAGAGAACAGCAGACAAAACGGCAGCCAGAAGACTAACCCACCCAGAGTATGGGCCAGAGGCTCCTCGCACTGGCTCTAGTTCTCATGGGTGCAGGTGGAAATCCTCCCCCTTTAACGGACTCCGCTCAGTGACAAACAGCCTCTGAAGGGCTGTGCCCTTCTCCAAGGCAACCCAGGTAAGGAGCAGATGTTAGCTACCAACAAAGGCAGAGAGCCACTTACCTCTGCTTTAGGTCCAATGAAGAGGTCGCCTTCAAGCGCCCCGGCCATGACGCGCACGTGCTTTGGGCGGCCCACACTAGAAGGACAAAGAGAGCAAAGTCGTCTCTCTACAAGGCAGGGCCGTTTGGGAATTCTATAGATAAAATCTCCCTTTTACATTAGTTTTAAATCTAACTCAGTACACTTAAATGTCCAAACTTTCCACACCTAACTGACCCCAAAGCAAATTAACAATTTTGCAGCAATACTTACTAATTCGGGAAGCAGTATTTTGGGATCTGATCTCCAGCAAAACCAGCCTTGACCACGCCTGAGCCCTGAAAGAAAAAAAAGAAGAAGCTATTAAGAGAGAGGGCGAATACATACTATCTCTGCATTGGAAATGTCTCTTCATTTCAGCTGCTGCTTTAACTCTGGCGCTATGGATTTTTCTTCTCCTTTTCTGGCAAGCCACCTTTCAGATTAAGTTGTGCTCCTGCTTCTAGTTTGATCATGAGTCTTTGCAGTTTGAAGAGTGACCCACTCATCACTGCAAAGCATGTTCTGAGTGTGTTAATTGCCAAGGTAGGGTTTCCAAGGTCTGAGAGATGATTGAGGAGTGGGTGTCACTTGGATCAACCACCACCGCCGCCGCCAGGGTTCAAAGCCAGATCTCCTGAGTCCTAGTCTGATGCTCCTTCTACTACCCCATGCTCGCTCTCACAAAAAGCAAGCTAGATGCACAAATACACCACCAAGTTCCCTTTGCTGCCTGATGCAGCTTTACTTTTGTTCTGCTATCACATTAGTGGTGGAAAAACCCAGAACTGAATGGCAGAATACATGCCTTGCATCTCATGCTGTTCCCAGCGACATCACATTATTTATTTATTTAATTTATATTGATTTATTTAATTTATATGCCGCCCACACTACCCAAAGGTCTCACATTAGTGGTGGAAGAAAGCAGAACTGAATGACAGAGTACATGCCTTGCATCTCATGCTGTTCCCAGAGGTAGGGACATTAGGTACCAGAGCTGGGCAGGGTCTGCCCCTGTGGCCCCAGAGAAGTGCTCCTGGTTAACCCCCCCCCCCAAATGGTATGAGACTAGATAATTCCATTAGTCTGGCGCAAGTCGAAGTAGCCTATGTGGCTTATTAACGCCACTGCAAACCTGGTGGCAACACCACATCTGGTCTGTGAAACTGAGGCACATTCTGACTACCACCCCAGGGAGTGTGGGATACAAATATCTGGACATAACTCCGTAATTCTATCAGCCTCCTGCTAATCAACCCAAACTCTGGAGCATTCACAGCAGTGAAAAAAAAAAACGATACTAATCGGAGGCACGAAGGGGAAAGCTGGAGCGATGTGGGCTAGATTGAGGAACAGTGGATGAGCCATTTCTCTCTAAAAGACAAGGGGAAACTGGCTCTAGGAGACTATCTGCTAGCTTGGACCCAATTAGAAAAAAGTTTGGAAAAGTTTCTGGGTGCAGCTCCTTGCATTTCCTAGTCTGCCGTCCCTGGTAGAGGGTTTTCAGAGCTGCAGTCGAAAAAGAAAGTTTTCCAAATTCTAGATTTACTTGAACTCTAGCCCAGCTCCTTATGCCATGCTCTAGAAAACTGAAACCATGACTACCTCTCAGAAACATGGGAGCCGAGACAAGAGTCAGCAGAGGCAAAAGGGGGCCCACACACAGCGCCAGAAGCTACACTGAGAATAGAATCCCTGACTGATTCTCGCTCAGTCACAAGATCACGGCTCCTCCTAGCTCTCCGGGCCAAGGACAAAGATTCCCTACTGTTGCGGAGAAGGAGGAATAGCTCGCCTCCCTGACCTGGCACAAGAGGGGCCATGATTCAGCATTCAGGGACATTCAGGGACATCCAAAAATCATCCCACCCTCTCTCGGCAGAGAGAAGAGGGGCCATGATTCAGCATTCAGGGACATTCAGGGACATCCAAAAATCATCCCACCCTCTCTCGGATGGCTGAGAAGAGAGATCAAGTGACAATCAACGGCTAGAAACTGGCAAAAAATATCCTGACTCTAGGATATTTTCCTGGAGGATCACAGAGCAGCTAGTACGACTAGTCTCCATCCCTCACTAAGAGGCTGGGCTGTTTCTCTTTGTCCCGTTTGCCACGAACTCTTTTACAGCATGAATAAGCAAATCTATTTCACGGCCACACCCCAGCAACAGATAGGAACATGTCAGATCCCTTTGGGCCTAGAGCCGTCAAGCACTAAACATCTCAGTACATACAAGGGCTAGTGGTACAATCCAGACACACTTCTTCTGTGTCTCCATTCCTGCATGTGTGGAACATTCATTCCAGTTTTACAGACAGTGAATTTATTTCGGTCGCTGACAACTCTTAGAAAGGCAAATCACGGAACTAGGGGCACATGTCTCCTGAACGGCATTCAAAATATCTGGGGACAAGTGAGGGCTTTCAGGATTTCAGGCAACCCTGCTCCAGTCTTGCAATGGCTTTTGGCAGCCAATCACTACTGTTATGTAGTGATCAACCTGCGAGACGTGAATCAGCTAGATAAAGATTCCAAACTCTTGAGTACTCCTTGTGTTTTCAATTTTTGTCTTTTTCCTTTCTTAGAGTGACCTTTCTTTGTATACTTATTGATCTTTCTCTTAATATTGCCTGTTAATTGATGTAAGATGGCTCCTTATTCATTGTTCAGAGTTTAAATATTGTCTTTAAAGTGGCATGCTCATTGTTTCCAACTTTAAATACTGTATTGTCTTTCACTGCTGTGAGGCACCTTGGGTCCTTTTCATGGAGAACGATGGGGTAAAAACATTTAAATAAATAAATAAATAGAAATTAACTCCCTCCTTTCTTACATGTTTTCCTTTAGTTCATTAACGGCACTCCAGAAGAGAAGTACCAGACCTCTCCTCAATGCACGAGAGGCCAACTACAAAAGAGTTACACAGGGATCCGAGTTCCGGTTCCGAAGCACAGGGGGCGGAGAAAACCTCAAATGAAGCACGATGCTTCCTCATTTGAAGCAACTCATTAGAATTCCTCGACAAAGATTACCAAAAATATAGCAACGATAGCTAGAGAGTCCCTGTGAATTCCTCTCCCCTTTGCTTTTTACCAGAGAACTAACACCGGCTGTTACAAGCTTTAGAATGGGCTCCAGATGGCAGTGCTTTGGAAAACCCAGAGCACCTCTGCATGAGGACACTTTCAGGAATCAAATCATCCTTCACTGTGGTGACAATCACTAGACAATCAGGCAAACAGGATTGTCTCGGTTTTGCAAACCTTGCTTTTTAAATAATAATCCTAGAACTGCAGAGCTGGAAGGGACCCTATGGGTCGCTGAGTCCAGTCCTTGTCAAGGAGGCCCGGGCGGCGGGGGGGGGGGAATTGAAGTCCCAACCACTGGGTCTGCAGCCAGATGCCTTACCAGTGGTCCCCACATTGGGCCTCCAGATGTTTGTGGACTACAACTCCCAGAAGCTTTTACCGCCACCTCTGCTGGCTAGGATTTCTGGGAGCTGAAGTCTAAGATCATCTGGAGGCTCAAGGTTGGGGACCACTGCCTTAAACCACTGAGAATTCAGCAGTTTTTTGGACTACAAAGGTCTTGTAGGCAAAGGGATTCTGGGAGATGTAGTCCAAAAAGAGGAACTTCTCCATGTTCTAGGCCCAAGCAATAGAAATATAAATTACGGAGGGGACCCAGTTCTAATTTCACCTCTGCCTCAAATGTATTAACATCACAATCCTAAGCAGAGCTACGCAGAGTAAATGTTGCTGCTGTCCAAGTGGGATTTTTTCCCCATAGCGAACATGGTTAGGATCACAGTCTTAAGTGCTTCCCATCTGCAAAATCAGGTTAACAATATTGATCTGTCTTAAAGCACTTCTATAAGCATAACTGGGGCAATGAATGCAAGGCCCCTTGAACATCCACAGACTGGATGTTCAAAGCAGCAGCAGGAAGGAGGAGAGAAAACAGAGAGGACAAAACTGTTCCTACAGTCAAGCTGGCTGAGCTGCCCTAAGTAAAAGTAAGGGTTGCCATTTATGTTGGCCAAAATTTTATTGCTGGCATAATGTAAATGGCATAATTTTGGACAGCAAACTGCCACAAGTTACAAAGTCAGTGGGAGCATTATTTGTGGCACACGGATCTTCACATCTCAATATGCAATAGAAAATACCTACTCTGATTTTATAACTTGCAGGAAAAACTGAACCAAAAAAGGCCACCCTGAAGGAGGCCAGAAAAACATCTGACAGAAATTGAGCCTTTTCAGCTGTGGCACCAGCCCTTGGAAAGGGGTTTCTTTCTGGCTGGGCTGCGCCTGATCCCCTCCCGCTGGCCGGCCCAACATTTAAGAGATTTCTAAAGGCAATGTTTTTTACAGAGGCTTTCAATGGCATCCTCATGCCTGATCCCCTCCCGCCGGCTGGCCCAACATTTAAGAGACTTCTAAAGGCAATGTTTTTTAATGGCATCCTCACATGGATTAGCCAATTTGTGCTGCCCATCCAGTTAACAGTTTGATGCTCTTGGTTTGTTTGTTTTCTGATGTTTTGATTCACTTTGATATTATTACTGTATCCTTTCTTGTTTACTGCAATAGTTACATTTATTTATTTAAAATACTGTTACCCCGCCTTTCTCCTTAAAAAGAACCCAAGGCAGCATACACCATTAAAAAGAAAATATCTAAAAGCTAAAAAAAGTATACAAAGATTTTAAAAAGAATTGAACAATTATCCTATTAGAAACAGTAAATAAAATCAATACTAAAAACTTCATAAGCAACAAGACACAACAATCTACTGTATTTAAAAAACCCACTCAGGAAGCCAGTCATTAAAGAAAAGCCTGTCTGAAGAGAAAGGTCTTTGCCGGCTTGATGGGGCCAGCCTAGCTTCCTGTGGCAGGGAGTTCCAGAGTCTGGGAGTAGCCACAGAAAACACTCTCTTCTGTGTCCCCACCAAGCGCAGCTGTGAGGGTGGCAGGACGGAGAGAAAGTCCTCCCCTGGTGATCTTAAAGCCTAGGCAGACTTATGGAGAGGGAGAAGGTGGTCTTTTAGATAGCTTGGACCCAAGCCATTTGGGGCTTTTTAGGTTAAAACCAGCACTTTGAATTGCGCCTGGAAATGGATCAGCAGCCAGTAGAACTGCTGTAACAGGGAGGTTACACAACACCTGTGCTTGCTTTCATACGACTGTTCACTGCCAAGAATACTGTGTTTCCCCAAAAATACGACAGGGTCTTATATTTTTGCTCCAAAAATGCATTAGGGCTTATTTTCAGGGGATGTTTTATTTTACAGTCAGCCATCTTCTGGTTGCTGCACAATGGTGGAGGGCAGGGTTTCACTTAACTAGGGCTTATATTTGGGGAAGGGCTTAGATTAAGAGCATCCTGAAAAATCATACTAGGGCTTATTTTCAGGTTAGGTCTTATTTTTGGGAAAACAGGGTAGTCCCCTGCACTAAATGAGCAGTATAAAAGTTTAATAAACCAACAGACAAATAAAGCCATTTCCGCTACACTGGCAATAGGATTTGGGCAATTATATCTCTACATCCTCAGTAACAAGGGACACTGTCTAGCACAAGCTATCAGCATCCCCAACTGCCCTGATCCCAAAAGTAAATTTGAATTTTAAGAAGACATTCCACCACTTAAAAATACTGTGTAGTCTTAAATGCTCCTGCTAATTTGTAATGCAACATGTCCTGTGATAGGAACAAGAAGGATAAACACTGTTGAGATTTCAGCAGGCCGACAAGACTGCTGTGAAAATTATAACTAGATCAGGCATTGCAGAACGTGCTGAATACTGGTGAGCACTAAACTAACATGGACTATTATTACCACCCTAACTTCAAGAATCTCAGGTAAACAATAGCCTTTCCCATTATCTGCTACTTGATCCTGAGACAGCAAACACTGGGGACAGGATCTTTTGCAAACAAGCAAGTACGCTATCTCTGGCCCTAGAACAGTGGTTTCCAACCTTGGGTCCGAGCAAACACTGGAGACAGGATCTTTTGCATACAAGCAAGTACGCTAACTCTGGCACTAGAACATTGGTTTCCTGGACTACAAATCCCAAAAATCGTGGCCAGCACAGCGAGTGGTGGAGGCTTCTAAGATCTTTTGTACAACTGGGGACCCCAGATTGGGCAACCCCTGCCTTAGCACAACAAACCTAGCTTACTACTGCTTTAGTAAGTTTGTGAGGCTTGCCTGAGCAGTAGCAGCAGGTCTAAAATACAACTTTCAAGAATCAAGGCAAATAAAAATTCACGTTTAAAAATGCACTAGGGTAACAATTATCTCACAATGCAATTCAGTGTAAATGAAATAGTTTGTTTTGTACTAATCTGGAGGTTTGTCCATCCAGTTACCAGACCTGTGTTAAAGGGGAGGAGACAACCCCATGCAAAATAAAGCCATTAAAGAGCGCCACATGATAAACCCGAGGGCCACATGCTGACTCAAAATGAACAATTGCCGTGGAATATTTGGGGTATGTGTATGTGTGTGAAAACACTCATGACCTGATTTCATTTTTTCCAAAACCCTCTCCTTAGCCCCTGTGAGAATAGGGTGCTGGACTAGGAAGGCCTTTGCTGCCATCCCTTTGGGTTTTTACTCTTGGCCCATCATCCTTCACGGCGTCCAGCATCCTCTTTCCAGGGTTTCAAAACAAAGAGGATCCTTCTCCTTCCTTGCAACCTGTGATCCCAGCCCAGTTGTCTCGTGATGCAAAGAGGATGCTTCCCCTCCCATAGGGCATCCCCCATCATTCCTGATGCTTTTCACTAGCATATAACTCCATGCTAATTACCAATTGATGAGCTTTTTTTGATGGCCCTCTAGCTGCTTTTTCAGAACGATGCCTCATATATAAAAGAGCGATCAGCTGCACGACAGTACTAACCTGGGCGCCCTAACAGCTGTTTCAGAACCCAATGCAATTAAAAATAAATTATTAACCGTTCCTTCTAACAAAAAGAAACTCTTGCAGCGCCTTGAGAACCCCTCCGGCTTGCTTTCCAGAGCCGCCACCCGGGGGGGAAAAAGCCAAGCAGAATCGCCCGCAAGACTTTTGTGCCCGTTGGGCTGAGAGAAAATAGGGCCACATCCGTTCGGCGAGAGACCCCCTCCAATTTGGGGAGGATGATTGGGGGGGGGCTGGAGGCCCGACTCGCCTTCAGGCTTTGCAAGCCTTTCCATCCGCTTGCAGAGCCTGGCCGGGGGGGGGGAGAGATAGAGAGATGGGGAGAGACACAAAAGGCCCCCCAAATCGCCCTCCTGGCCAAGGGGCAAAACTGGGCTTTTTGGCTTTGGTGGGTGGGAGAAAATATCTTATTAATTGTTAATTAACGAGGCTAGGCGGGGGAGGGGGAAAGGGGGGGCCTCCTTCCTGCTATTGCTTCTCCTCCCGCCATCGGAGGGACCAGGCCGGCTTAGGGCCCCACCCTGACCGCGCTCCTCCTCCTCCTCCGGGCGCTGCAGCAGCAGCAGCAGCCACCGTCGGGCGCGGCTCCTTCCTTCCTTCCTCCCCTTCCCTCCCCTCCATCCCTTCCTCCCTCAGGCCGGCGCGGCGCTTACGTTGTCAATGACCACGGGCTGGTTGGCGATAATGTCGTAGGACTCCATGGCTGGGCCGGGCCCGGTGGGGCCGAGGACTCGGAGCAGGCAGGCCGCCGCTCCCCGCGGCTGCTGCTGCTGCTGCTGAGGCTGGTTGGTGGGTCTGAGGCGCCGGCCGGCCCGCTCACCCTCACCAGCCTCACCACCACCCCCCCGACGCGGCGCAACGCAACCCGCC